GGCCAGGGTGTAGGCCGTACCCCTGGCCAGGGGCCGTACCTCCTGGCCAGGGGCCGTACCCCTGGCCAGGGGCCGTACCTCCTGGCCAGGGGCCGTACCCCTGGCCAGGGGCCGTACCCCTGGCCAGGGGCCGTACCCCTGCCCAGGGGCCGTACCCCTGCCCAGGGGCCGTACCCCTGGCCAGGGGCCGTACCTCCTGGCCAGGGGCCGTACCCTGGCCAGGGGCCGTACCCCTGGCCAGGGGCCGTACCCCTGGCCAGGGGCCGTACCCCTGGCCAGGGGCCGTACCCCTGCCCAGGGGCCGTACCCCTGGCCAGGGGCCGTACCTCCTGGCCAGGGGCCGTACCCCTGGCCAGGGGCCGTACCCCTGGCCAGGGGCCGTACCCCTGGCCAGGGGCCGTACCCCCTGCCCAGGGACCGTACCCCCTGGCCAGGGGCCGTACCCCTGGCCAGGCCATATAAGGTTTATTAATGATAATTTCCAGGTGATGCACTAGTGAAATATATCATGACGCCTCGATGGCAACACCGGTATACATACACACGGATATATTCTCACACCATCATACATATACTCCCATGTGTCCCACACCATCATACATATACTCCCATGTGTCCCACACCATCATACATATACTCCCATGTGTCCCACACCATCATACATAAACTCCCATGTGTCCCACACCATCATACATAAACTCCCATGTGTCCCACACCATCATACATATACTCCCATGTGTCCCACACCAGCATACATATACTCCCATGTGTCCCACACCATCATACATATACTCCCATGTGTCCCACACCAGCATACATATACTCCCATGTGTCCCACACCATCATACATATACTCCCATGTGTCCCACACCATCATACATATACTCCCATGTGTCCCACACCATCATACATATACTCCCATGTGTCCCACACCATCATACATATACTCCCATGTGTCCCACACCATCATACATATACTCCCATGTGTCCCACACCATCATACATATACTCCCATGTGTCCCACACCATCATACATATACTCCCATGTGTCCCACACCATCATACATATACTCCCATGTGTCCCACACCATCATACATATACTCCCATGTGTCCCACACCATCATACATATACTCCCATGTGTCCCACACCATCATACATATACTCCCATGTGTCCCACACCATCATACATATACTCCCATGTGTCCCACACCATCATACATATACTCCCATGTGTCCCACACCATCATACATATACTCCCATGTGTCCCACACCATCATACATATACTCCCATGTGTCCCACACCAGCATACATATACTCCCATGTGTCCCACACCATCATACATATACTCCCATGTGTCCCACACCATCATACATATACTCCCATGTGTCCCACACCATCATACATATACTCCCATGTGTCCCACACCATCATACATATACTCCCATGTGTCCCACACCATCATACATATACTCCCATGTGTCCCACACCATCATACATATACTCCCATGTGTCCCACACCATCATACATATACTCCCATGTGTCCCACACCAGCATACATATACTCCCATGTGTCCCACACCATCATACATATACTCCCATGTGTCCCACACCATCATACATATACTCCCATGTGTCCCACACCATCATACATATACTCCCATGTGTCCCACACCATCATACATATACTCCCATGTGTCCCACACCATCATACATATACTCCCATGTGTCCCACACCATCATACATATACTCCCATGTGTCCCACACCAGCATATATATACTCCCATGTGTCCCACACCATCATACATATACTCCCATGTGTCCCACACCATCATACATATACTCCCATGTGTCCCACATCATCATACATATACTCCCATGTGTCCCACACCATCATACATATACTCCCATGTGTCCCACACCATCATACATATACTCCCATGTGTCCCACACCATCATACATATACTCCCATGTGTCCCACACCATCATACATATACTCCCATGTGTCCCACACCAGCATACATATACTCCCATGTGTCCCACACCATCATACATATACTCCCATGTGTCCCACACCATCATACATATACTCCCATGTGTCCCACACCATCATACATATACTCCCATGTGTCCCACACCATCATACATATACTCCCATGTGTCCCACACCATCATACATATACTCCCATGTGTCCCACACCATCATACATATACTCCCATGTGTCCCACACCAGCATATATATACTCCCATGTGTCCCACACCATCATACATATACTCCCATGTGTCCCACACCATCATACATATACTCCCATGTGTCCCACATCATCATACATATACTCCCATGTGTCCCACACCATCATACATATACTCCCATGTGTCCCACACCATCATACATATACTCCCATGTGTCCCACACCATCATACATAAACTCCCATGTGTCCCACACCATCATACATATACTCCCATGTGTCCCACACCATCATACATATACTCCCATGTGTCCCACATCATCATACATATACTCCCATGTGTCCCACATCATCATACATATACTCCCATGTGTCCCACACCATCATACATATACTCCCATGTGTCCCACATCATCATACATATACTCCCATGTGTCCCACATCATCATACATATACTCCCATGTGTCCCACATCATCATACATATACTCTCATGTGTCCCACACCATCATACATATACTCCCATGTGTCCCACATCACCATACATATACTCCCATGTGTCCCACACCATCATACATATACTCCCATGTGTCCCACATCATCATACATATACTCTCATGTGTCCCACACCATCATACATATACTCCCATGTGTCTCACACCAGCATACATATACTCCCATGTGTCTCACACCATCATACATATACTCTCATGTGTCCTCTCCCTGCCCCTGGACACCTCTCCCTGCCCCCTGGACACCTCTCCCTGCCCTCTGGACACCTCTCCCTGCCCCCTGGACACCTCCCCCTGCCCCCTGGACACCTCTCCCTGCCCCCTGGACACCTCTCCCTTCCTCTGGACATCACTCCCTGCCCCTTGGACACCTCTCCCTGCACCTGGACACTTCTCCCTGCCCCTGGACATCTCTCCCTGCCCCCTGCACACCTCTCCCTGCCCCCTGGACACCTCTCCCTGCCCCCTGGACACCTCTCCCTGCCCCCTGGACACCTCTCCCTGCCCCCTGGACACCTCTCCCTGCCCCTGGACATCTCTCCCTGCCCCTTGGACACCTCTCCCTGCACCTGGACACCTCTCCCTGCCCCCTGGACACCTCTCCCTGCCCCTGGACACCTCTCCCTGCCCCTGGACACCTCTCCCTGCCCCTGGACACCTCTCCCTGCCCCCTGGGCACCTCTCCCTGCCCCTGGACACCTCTCCCTGCCCCCTGGACACCTCTCCCTGCCCCTGGACACCTCTCCCTGCCCCTTGGACACCTCTCCCTCCCCTGGACACCTCTCCCTGCCCCCTGGACACCTCTCCCTGCCCCCTGGACACCTCTCCCTGCCCCTGGACACCTCTCCCTGCCCCTGGACACCTCTCCCTGCCCCTTGGACACCTCTCCCTGCCCCTGGACACCTCTCCCTGCCCCTGGACACCTCTCCCTGCCCCTGGACACCTCTCCCTGCCCCTGGACACCTCCCTGCCCCTGGACACCTCTCTCTGCCCCTGGACACCTCTCCCTGCCCCTTGGACACCTCTCCCTGCCCCCTGGACACCTCTCCCTGCCCCTAGACACCTCTCCCTGCCCCTGAACACCTCTCCCTGCCCCCTGGACACCTCTCTCTGCCCTTGGACACCTCTCCCTGCCCCTTGGACACCTCTCCCTGCCCCTGGACACGTCTCCCTGCCCCTGGACACCTCTCCCTGCCCCTTGGACACCTCTCCCTGCCCCTGGACACCTCTCCCTGCCCCTGGACACCTCTCCCTGCCCCTTGGACACCTCTCCCTGCCCCTGGACACCTCTCCCTGCCCCTGGACACCTCTCCCTGCCCCCTGGACACCTCAGGGACGGGAGGGTGTCAGGCACCACCCAGCCTGAGGCTTCCACAGTAGGAAAAGACTGAGCGCTCGTCCCGCGAGGTCAAGTTCTCATCATTACTCATCGTGTCGTAGATCAGAGGTGCTGAAGTCAGTGATGAATACATGTAATAAAGACAGGTGGAGTTTCCAGGACGAAACAACGCAATATGCAACAACTACAACAATAACAGCACCTATTGCAACAACAATGATAACGATTTCAACAACAATAAGAACTACTGCAACAACAATAATAACTACTGCAACAGCAGTGAACAAGACGATGTTGAAAGCTATAAACAATGGCACTAGCCGAAGATGAAGCGTGTCCTTCCTACTGCAGGCCGGCTAGCCTGCCTGGTAGCCGGCTAGCCTGCCTAGTAGCCGGCTAGCCTGCCTGGTCTTCCTGGTAGCCCGCTAACCGTTCTGGCCTGCTTGTTGGTAGGCCATTAGCCTTCTGGTAGCCCGCTAGTCTTCCAGGCTTGCCTCGTATCCGGCTTGCCTTTAAGGTAGCACGGTAGATTTCCTGGCCTTCCTGATAGCCCAGTAGTCAGTCTGGCAGATTGCTAGCCTGCCAGGTAGCCCACTATTTGACAGCCCACTAGCCTGACAGGTGGCTCGCTAGTCTACCTGACAATCAGCCAAGCTGCCAATGAGCCTGACCATCAAGCAAGCTAGCCAGGCAGACAATCAGGAAGTCAGTGAGCTAGGCAGACAATCAGCTACGGTGGCAGTCTGCCTGGCAGCGAACTGGGGACTTTGCCCCGGCGAAATCATCCCCCTGATAAAACAGTTTACAGAATCCACACTTTGCGTACCACCAATCACTTCATCTTGCGGCCTCTCGGATAGGCCTTGTTTGGCCGTTTCACCGATACGAAAAAGTTCCTTTGATAGACATAATTGATATATATATTGAAGAGCAAGCGTAATATAATGTCACTTACCGCACTCTTCATAGCGCGCGGATGGTCTGGTCGACGGGGCCGCCCGCTCCTCCGGTATATGTACCAGGCTATCTGTTGCCGACTACTCGGTTTCCAGTCCCTCCCCGACGACAGCCGAATTCCAGCCGCCACCGACTACCTGTAACTCACTGCTCACAACTGAATGGTACACGTTCTTATCCGGGACACGAGATAGTGTTCACGCTGTAAGATTATTTCCTGGTGTTTCTGAGGACGTGTCGGGGGGTTAAAATCCCGGGATAGCCGCCTGTGGTAACGTCTCCTTCGCCAGTGTAGGAAACTGTTCCCGGAAATGATGGATAAAAACCGGCTGAAATGCTTTGAAATCATGAGCGCAAAAGCGTCATTTATGGATTGTAATTGAGAAAGAGGACTGCCCGTCGGGCACCTTGCTAGCCTGCCTGGGAGCTGGCTATATAGCCTGCTCGTTAGAGTCTTAGCCTAACAACCAAACTAGGCCGTTCTGCTTTTGGTTGGTATTAACGATTCATATATAGGGTCTGAGGTGTGGATATATACTGTGTGCTGCTTCACGATCGTCCACAAAGAGAGAGAGAGAGAGAGAGAGAGAGAGAGAGAGAGAGAGAGAGAGAGAGAGAGAGAGAGAGAGAGAGAGAGAGAGAGAGAGAGAGAGAGAGAGAGAGAGAGAGAGAGAGAATAAAGAATAGTGAGGATATATTTTTTTGCAGATAATGAGGCTGTCTGAGTGTGGGTTGTGGTGCAAGAGGACCCTTGTGGTTGCTGGGTGTTTGTCAGGGTCGCTCCGGGGCTACCTCAGGGTCCACAAGTCCCAGAGGAGGATCACAAACCACAATGACGTATAATGGTCACAAAAAAGACCTTCCATACAACAGCTTAGGACCTTCCATACAACAGCTTAGGACCTTCCATACAACAGCTTAGGACCTTCCATACAACAGCTTAGGACCTTCCATACAACAGCTTAGGACCTTCCATACAACAGCTTAGGACCTTCCATACAACAGCTTAGGACCTTCCATACAACAGCTTAGGACCTTCCATACAACGGCTTAGGACCTTCCATACAACAGCTTAGGACCTTCCATACAACGGCTTAGGACCTTCCATACAACGGCTTAGGACCTTCCATACAACGGCTTAGGACCTTCCATACAACAGCTTAGGACCTTCCATACAACGGCTTAGGACCTTCCATACAACAGCTTAGGACCTTCCATACAACAGCTTAGGACCTTCCATACAACGGCTTAGGACCTTCCATACAACGGCTTAGGACCTTCCATACAACGGCTTAGGACCTTCCATACAACAGCTTAGGACCTTCCATACAACGGCTTAGGACCTTCCATACAACAGCTTAGGACCTTCCATACAACAGCTTAGGACCTTCCATACAACGGCTTAGGACCTTCCATACAACAGCTTAGGACCTTCCATACAACAGCTTAGGACCTTCCATACAACGGCTTAGGACCTTCCATACAACAGTTTAGGACCTTCCATACAACAGCTTAGGACCTTCCATACAACAGTTTAGGACCTTCCATACAACAGCTTAGGACCTTCCATACAACGGCTTAGGACCTTCCATACAACAGCTTAGGACCTTCCATACAACAGCTTAGGACCTTCCATACAACAGCTTAGGACCTTCCATACAACGGCTTAGGACCTTCCATACAACAGTTTAGGACCTTCCATACAACAGCTTAGGACCTTCCATACAACAGTTTAGGACCTTCCATACAACAGCTTAGGACCTTCCATACAACGGCTTAGGACCTTCCATACAACAGCTTAGGACCTTCCATACAACAGCTTAGGACCTTCCATACAACGGCTTAAGACCTTCCATACAACAGTTTAGGACCTTCCATACAACAGCTTAGGACCTTCCATACAACGGCTTAGGACCTTCCATACAACAGTTTAGGACCTTCCATACAACAGTTTAGGACCTTCCATACAACAGCTTAGGACCTTCCATACAACAGCTTAGGACCTTCCATACAACAGCTTAGGACCTTCCATACAACAGCTTAGGACCTTCCATACAACGGCTTAGGACCTTCCATACAACGGCTTTGGACCTTCCATACAACGGCTTAGGACCTTCCAGACAACGGCTTAAGACCTTCCATACAACAGTTTAGGACCTTCCATACAACAGCTTAGGACCTTCCATACAACAGCTTAGGACCTTCCATACAACAGCTTAGGACCTTCCATACAACAGCTTAGGACCTTCCATACAACAGCTTAGGACCTTCCATACAACGGCTTAGGACCTTCCATACAACGGCTTTGGACCTTCCATACAACGGCTTAGGACCTTCCAGACAACGGCTTAAGACCTTCCATACAACAGCTTAGGACCTTCCATACAACGGCTTAGGACCTTCCACACAATTCATGACCTTCCATAAAGCAACTTCGTCTTCCTCCATAACATAATTCGAAGGATGTGTCGATGACGGGCTAAGGAGAAGGATTCCATCTTATGATACATGCAAGGTTAGTAAGATCTGGATGCTATTAAAGTTGCATAAAGGCCACGTCATGCAAGATCTTGGTGATGCAACTTGTGTCTCTTGCGTACTCCGGACTGCTTGTGTATAGTACCAGCTGGATATAATAACATCAGATTTTGCAGTACTTTGTTTCGACTGGTGCTGGGCTGATGCCCTATATCATCCTCTGAGAGGTTATTGAAGCCACTATACTGGCTTCAATATACTAATTATACTTATATACTAAGTATATAAGTATACTTGTACTTGCTGATCAACCAGCAAGTGCAAGTAAGTCCTAGACATAGTCCAGGATTAACGTGGTGAGGCCAGAGGTCTTGAGAAGGTGAGTGGTGAGCCATAGTCCTGGAGATGGTGAGGCATTAAGTGGTCACTATCGCCAAACTCACCATAAGCAAGGCCATGTACCCACACAGGCGAGGTCCGCTGATCACTATCCAACGGGCGTTGAAGTCTCGTGTTGTTGTTTTGTACGCAACAAGGATATGCAGTGGAGCTGATGGGTAGACTGTGGGGGCTAATGGATAGGTAATAAGACGAATGGGTGTCCCAATGGAGGACTACGTGGGCTGTAATATATGGGGGGGGGGAGTCTATAAGTGAATAGTCTGGTGAATGACGGCAGGTAAGTTTATACATAATCTTGAGAAGACAAATCTTGAGTTTGTCAAGATAATGCTAACAATTCAAATAGAAAATTGACAGATAAAACGATGGATATAATTGTGTAATGTAATTATCTGGCTAAATATCCAGGTTAATTAGAAGTGAATGGGTTGTATTTTTGTGACAAAATTGTTACTGATACAGGATTGTGACGTGTTAATGAGTGAGGAATAATAGGAATGTTTACTTCCACAGTCTTGAAGACCTTAATGATTCCTCGTGTAGCCTTCAAGATTTGGACTGCCTTGTACGGAGCTTGTAGGACCTCCCATGAATGAGGCTTACAGAGGTTTGAAATTCCTTGTAGGGGAGTTTTAAGACGTGAAATATTTAGTATGGGCTGTCGTGGTCCAACAGCGGCGCCCACAACAGCCTTGTATATAATGTCACTCCCATACTGCTGCTCTGCCACTCTCCTAGTTTATGTGTACTCATTTCTGGCCTTTTTGTTTGTGTCTGTGATTTGCTTCTGTTCTGTGTTCTCCATATTTCTTCCAAGCACTTTTGCTTCTTCTCTTTGCCTCCAGACACTGTTGAACCATACCTTGAGGTTACCTTGAGGTGCTTCCGGGGCTCAGAATCCCCGCGGCCCGGTCGTCGACCAGGCCTCCTGGTTGCTGGACTGATCAACCAGGCTGTTGGACGCGGCTGCTTGCAGCCTGACGCATGAGTCACAGCCTGGTTAATCACCATGGGGCAATCCTCGTCCTGTTTCCCTTACCCCTTAGTGGTGATATAAACCTTCCTTCAGCTTCCTTGAGTTAGTTCGTTACGTAGTCCATCATGTCTTGTGTTGATTTTCCTCTGAGCTCTCTTCCCCATTCTATGCCTCCCTTCCCCGAGGAATTCTCTAACCTTCTGGTATTTCCCTCTCCTGTAAGCTGGCCTTACACTCTCCCTCTGGTTACATCTTTCTTGGGTCTTCACTCTCACTGTGTATTCAAAGACTGAGACACAGTGGTCACGTGATCCTAATGGTATTTCATGGTTAATGTTTTCAAAGTGTATGTGTGAATTAATAACTACGGGCTCACCATAGCCCGTGCTACTTGGAACTTTTGGTTCCGATTAGCAATACTTAAACAACAACAACAACAAGGTATGCGTGAAGATTTTCCTGGAGTAAGCCACAGGCTCTATGCCCATTTTCTTTCTCTCTACATGTGGTTTTTCTTCTTCTTTGAATCTCTATATCTTCAATATTACTCCGATATTTCCCCTCATTATCATCCAGCCTCTGTTCGTCCATTCGCCGCCTGTCGTCCAAGGCAAAAAGACATCTGACGCAGCTTGCAGAGTGAATATCAATGACTGGTTTAGATACTGAAGTGACCAGTCATAACCATGGGAACTGCCTCATCATGCAGTTGGCAGCGCAGTTGTTGGGAAGTCCGGCTGCCTGGCGTTGCTGATCTAATGGTGGAGAGTGTCGTACGGCTTCCTTATTATACTCCTGCATGTTCCTCCCAGTTTAACATCCTATGGTCGCTAGTCTACGGCTTCAAATATAAGACACTGAAAAGCTGTATCGATGCCTCGAACGCCTCCATGAAATTATACAATAATAATAATAATAATAATAATAATAATAATAATAATGTCTTCTCACAGACAAAATAACATAGGATAAAAACCTATACTTGTATATTTGTGAAATTTATGTAAAGATTTACACCAAGTCTTTCACACTCTCCTGAGTGCTTAGTCAAGGTCTGAGTGTGTGATTAGAACCAGACTTACATCTGAACGTCTAATGAACGTTAATTAGACGTTGAGACGTAAGTCTGGTCCTCACCACACACTCACACCTTGACAAAACAATCAGGAGAATACGAGAGACTTGGTGTAAATCATTACATAAATTTCAAAAATACACAAGTGTGGGATTTTTACCCTAAATAATAATAAATAATAATTATAGTGAAGAGCCCAACGGGATGAAAA